CGATGAGACAGACAGACGTATCCAGGAACAGGGTCAAAAGTATGGACCCTCTCTCTTATTAAACGAGAGCTTTGCTGATACCTTTTAGAATCGATAAAGTCCTGACGGACTTGGCAGAGGCGAAATCGAGAACAGTTGATTATGTAGCATTGGAGGAGAGTCTAAGAGGAGTTCACAACGACACAGTCAATGCGTAAGTGTCCAAAGACTCCTGTGGACTTCAGACGCTAATCATTTCGTAGAATTGTAGCAGAAATACAGATTTCTGCACAGTCAGCTCACAGTTCCGCACTTAATGACCGGCAAAGCCTGAGCGACAATTTGGATCAAATCCGGATTCTATGTAACGGTATCTCTGATGGGATGAGCGAAGCGAAGAATGTTGCAGAATGGCAAACTAGGGCAAGCGAAGCTGACACGACTGTTCGGGATCAAGTGCACCAAATCCAAAATCTGCAAGATGAACTCAACCAGACGCGTATTCTAGTTCAAGATAAACTAGAAGAGCAGCTAGAGCTCCAGAGCCAGTTGGGTATTCTGCAAACTCATCTAAGCGAGAAAGACGCAGCAGTAGCTGGGTTTGAGAAAGATCTCGCGGCCACTCAAGAAGAGCTGAGAACGCAGGCGCGCAGACTTCGAGACAAGGAGGAACAAATTCAGAATGAGCGTCAAAGCCACACACAGGCTATCGAATACAGTGCCCGGGAACGAAACCAAGCCATATCGCGTGCCGTTGCCGAAGAAACAGAAAGGCTCAGAGAAGAGCATGAACGAAAGGAGAGGCAGCTCCAAGCAGAAGCGGGTAGGGAACGGGCGCAGCTTGAGCAAGAGCTCGTCAATTCGCGGCAAGCTGTAGAAGCCGAGAACAGACTGAATATTGGCGAAGACATTCGTCACATTACTGGCGAACTTGCTGCTGCAAACACTTCGATAACTGAGCTGAAAGCAGACTTAGAGGAATCTGAGCATCAACGAGAGGCCTTGCAAGAGAGACTTGAGCAGTGGTCACGCGATCGGGATGCGATCGGCCAGATGCAACAGATGCTACAGCGGCTAGCAAAAGAGCAACCAAACGCGAAACAGATGAGTAGCGAGTTGACGAAGCTAACAGAGATGCAGAGAAAGATATCAGGAACGGTGGAATATCACCAGGTGCACTTGGCGAATACAAAAGCAGCGGTGGCCGCTAAACAAGCCCAGCAAAACGACGGCACGACTACGCCGTCTAAGACCAAGTCCAATCCGACTAATGGTCAGCAGAACAGCACTGATCACCTGCTCGTGGAGTCGCAAAATCTCAAGCGAAAGGTCATGGTGAAATCCCCGGCTATCGATGATGATCGCGCATCCCCAGTGTCTATTGAACAAGAAAGAAATGCTAGACGACAGTCGGTACCACCACGAGGTATCATGAAATCGCAGACTCCAAGTGCATCGGGAGAGTTGGAAGCAACAGCGACCGGAGCTGAAATTGATTCCCAAATGCCAGAAGAACTACAGCCGCCACCGAAGCGAAAGATAGCGAAACGTGGTTCAAAGCCAATTCCCAATGCTCGCAGCTTGTACAATCGACTCGTATCAGGGTCTGTCCTGGGAACAAGCCAGGAGCAGGAAGATGCAACCCAAGTTGGCTCCTCTAGTGGCCACAAGAGCGACGCCACTGTAGGAAGAGCAACTTCTGACGGAGCATCCGATCCCTTGGGATTCGTGCAAGATGCCGAGGAGCCCCCCATGAAACGACAGCGGACATCAGAAGTCAATCAGCAGCCCGACGAGGTGTCGTATCATACGCCAGGAACCAAATTAGCTCGCTCTATGACTGAATACTTTCCAGCTCAGGAGCCGGAAGATCGAGAGACTACCCAGATGCCTCAGGCAACTTCATCGCGCGGCGGTCCCATTGAGAGAAGACTATCAGGGCTAGTCACTTACGGGTTATCGAGCCTCAGGGGGAGTAGGTCAAATAGCCAGTTGTCGCTTGCGTCTTCGCAGACACTAGCAGCGTCAGATGAAGACGACTAAACTACGTCCCAAGACGCCCTCCAAGACCGGCATCGCGATATAAGACTTGATATGAAGTGGTGGACTCATCGACGACATGGCAATTTGCCACAGATTGCTTTGCTTCTAATATACTTAGGAGAATTTGCTGAGATGATAGCTGTTCACTATCTCAAAGTGCGGAGATGTGTTTTTCATGTTGAGCTTTGCTTGAAAGTCTAGTCAAGGATGCTATCTCGGGGAGTGGGAGTCGACTTGATCTTTGCTAAGAAGCCGAGAAGGGCGTGGTTATTGTAGTAATCCATATTTACTTCCAATTTGTGTCATCTAATGAATGCATCGTGAATCTTTGCCAATCCCATTCTATGATGAGATGATTCTGGATCTCGAGTATAGTACAGGTATATGTACACAAGACTGATAGCATCCACGGGGGATCTAGCCCAGACCGACTCTCCTGCATATCTAACACGTCGCAATAGAGAAGTAGGGGTTCTCGAGGACAATCGAGGCTCTGTTGGCCGTGGGGTGATGTATCGTATAATACGCGAGACGCGCGCCTCAACTATCTCCCTTTTTTCCGCTTCTGTTCCAGGAAGAGGACCTTTTTCCGTACTAAAAGAAGGTGAGTTAGCCGAGTCTATGCCAATAGAAGCTGTCCCTCTCGCCCGTGTAGCGCGATCACCACCGTCCTCTACCAGCAGACAAGGAATTCCAAGACGTACCGACAGGATCGTACTTGAGCATGCTCATGGGCCGCGACGCTCGCGGACGCGTGAAGGAATAAAAGAAGCCGGTCATGGCCATGGACAGCAGGCGGACCGGGATCATGCGGGTCTTGGCTGCACCGAGTGTAAGCAGCAGAGTTGTAACACCATAGACGGGCTAGCAATTTCATGGGTGCGAGAGAGACTTACATTTCTTGGCCATTTTGTAGTAGAGGGTGGCCGAGGGCGAGCTTCGAGTTCCAATCGAACGAAGAATTGCGGTGCGAGTATTCGCGATCTTGATGCGTTGCTAAATGCGATGAAGTTTTTGGTGGAGCTTTGAAGCTTCAATTGTGGCTGATCGGCAATCGGAGTGTGCTGTGGCTTTGAGTGTGGCTTTGCGGGGTCCACTCCGATTACCTACCGAGCTGCCGAGCTGCCGAGGAGGCGTCCTTTCGGCTTTGTAATTTGTGATTTGTGATCTGACTCGGCTGCTCGGACTCGGATGCACACATTGGCGCCAACACCTGTGGATGTCGTCTTTGATAGACAAAGCCGTCGGATGGACTTTCCAATGGCAGACTAAGCAAGTTGCGTCCTCCAGATCGTCTCCACCGATCTAACTCCTACGTATCAGCAAGACCAATCATCTGCTTCCCATTTGTATTCCTATTCGCACCTTGCAGCCTTGATATCAACATCCCAGGCCCGTCTGTTACTCGCCGAAAGGCGTAAGTAACTAAGTGGGCTTCGATGTAAACCCAGCAAGAGGTTGCGAACGGTTGACTTGATCTATGACTCCCATTGAGATCCTTCCGAGGCGGATATAGAAGTTGAATTTCATGGCTGTTACGAGAGTGTATAAATCAGAGCACTTCCCTTACTTCCTCCGTAGTCTGAGTCACCCGAGCATCCATCTAGATTAGAGCAAGTGCAAACCGTCCTCCAAAATGCCCTCCGTCGACTTGGAATATCCTACGCAGCCTTATAGCAAGGTCAACCGGTATGACTCGAGAGGTAAAGAGTCTCTAGCTATTATTTTAGGTCCACGAAACTAACCCTCCGCGAGCTTCCTACGCCCTGGAGACCATCCACGGCATCGTCAACACCTGTCCCATCGTCCATGTCTCCTTCGCAGTCCCCAACTCCCCCTTCCCAGCAATTCTCCCCATGATAGGGCAGATGGGCTCCTTCGCGCGTCCCAGCGCCGACACCGGGGATGTGCTCGAGCTGTACCTGCACGGCTACGTGTCCTCGCGCATCATCAACATGTCGCGCAGCGCCAACGGCAGCGGCAGCGGCAGCGGCGCGCCCCCGGGAGCGGCGGAGGAGGAGGAGGGCCTCCCGGTCTGCGTGGCCGCCAGCCACCTGGACGGCCTGGTGCTCGCGCTCACGCCCAACTCGCACAGCTACAACTACCGCTCGGCGGTGCTGTTCGGGCGGGCGGCGCTCGTGACCGACGCCGACGAGAAGCTGTACGCCATGGAGCTCATCACGAACGGCGTGGCGCGCGACCGCTACCGCCACACGCGCGTGCCGCCCAACGCGGCCGAGATGCAGAGCACGAGCGTGCTGCGCGTCCGGGTCAGCGCCGGCAGCGCCAAGGTGCGCAGCGGCATGCCCAACGACCACGGGCCCGACAGGGACGACGACGCGGTGCTGGACCGCGTCTGGACCGGCGTCGTTCCGGTCCACTACACCATGGGCGAGCCGCTGCCCGGGCCGTACAACAGGCTGCGGCAGGTGCCCGGGTATCTCGAGGAGTTCAGGGCGGACTTCAATCGGGACGCGAAGGATGCTGCCGTGGAGGCGGCGACGAAGCCGATGCAGCCGAAGAAGGCGATGCATGATGACTGATTTGGGGGGGGTTTTTTTTTTTTTGTTGCGGCTGTTTGTTTTCGCTTTGGGAGGTAGGCATTGAGCCAGATCTGCGCTCTTGGCTTTGCGAGAGACGTCGTTGCAGTTTAATTCTTTAATAGACTACATATTCCATCGAGTCGTGCTGCCGCATGCTGCTTCAGGCCACATGGCCGTTTGACTCTCCTGGTTGGGTTGGGTTGTGCGGTCTTTCCAAAGGGAGGATACCTAATGCAGCATGATATAGCTTGGGATTGTACGAGCACAAGCGTAAATCGATCGAGAATTCGGTGTCTACCGTAGGGACATTTATGCGAGAGTAGGAGCGTTAGGAGGTAGGCAAGGCTACAATCATGAGGCATGATGGTGTTACTAAGGGCAAAAGATAACCTGCAGGGGAAAAAGGAAAAAAAAAAAAGAAAAGAAAATCATTATTGCCGAGAGCCAGATTCGAACTGGCATCTCCGGTAGAGCAAGAGCCCGTAGTATCCACTAGATCTCTTCGCTGTGATTGGCATCCACACTCGTTATATGGTGCCTGGCATCCGCGGTTTAGCGATCCAGTGAATACTTGGGTCAGTCGCCCTTCCAGCGTCATAACCATTAGACCACCCCAGCTTATCCGTTTGGTTTGGGCACGTTAATTATGGTACATAACCCTTTGGTCGGGTAAGGTGCGGAAGGTTTGGTAGTTAGGGCCGCCGTTGCTCTGGGATACCGGGACGACGTCGGGACGTGGGGAGGGATTATGGCACAATTTGAATCGAGTTGCCTTACGGGTTGTCTACACTGGGAGCCTGCTACTGTACGATACCGTCTAAATAGTGGTAGCATCAATTCCCGAAATCGTACTTTTACTGACAGCTATCATAACGGCTCTTGCCCCCTTATTCATATGTATCGCAGTAGCTTGTCAATATCAACATATGTTCATGGTCGATGGCAGTTCGACAAACTGTTTTCAAAGGTTTACATCGCCTATGCAATAACATTACCCTTGTGCTACATGATTCTTTGCTACAAGCACGCATATAGAGCTCTCGCTCACCAATTCTGCCAAATATGGCTCGGCACGACCGTCCTCATAACGGCCCAATGGCCGAGGGCGCTCTTGTCATGCCACTCCGCCAGTTTCTCCGTCTCGTTTACTCTAAGGATCCCCGCGTCTGGGGAGAAGATCGATACGTCTACTTCGTGCTTGGGGAGGAGAAAAGCCCTCCTAGCTAGACTCTGCAGATAGTCTGCTTCCTTCGGCTCTCTAAAGCTGACCTTCTCGCCCGTCTTGGTGCAAAATACGATGACGTTGTCGAAGTCGCGCCCCGTCTCTTCAAGCGTCTCTGCTGAAGGGGGCTCTCCTTCCCTAAAGACTCGACATGATGGGAAGACCTCCTTGATAGTATTCATGACGATGCCGAGTGGGGGCAGCGTGAAATCGCCGGCATAGTTCTACTTCTACATCAGTTCATGACTTAAAGGTCGGTCAACAGCAGTACAACTTACGATAGCAATAACACCATTTGGCTTCAACATATGCTTTAGGCTTGCCAAGAATTCGTCAGTGAATAGAGGTATCGGCTCTGCTCCACCAGTGAACACGTCGTGGACGATGTAGTCGTAGTTCTCGTGGAGGGCGTCCTTATTGGTTTGACTCCAAGAAATGGCGTCTTGGATCACAGCTGTGTGGTTCAATGGCAACCCGAAGTACTTCTTGGCAAATTCATAGACCATGGGATCGATCTCCACAATCGTCGTATCGATGCCGTGAGCTATTAATGCTGACGGGGTGGTCCCAATTCCAAGACCGCTGTGTCCAGATTAGTCACCACGACTTGGGCGGTAGTTAACTATATGCTTACATATTCAAGGCCTTCGCCTTGCTATCCGGTGCCTTATCTGGAATTTGGACGAGGCGTACAGCCTCAAGTTGCGTGAAAACGCTGTATATGGGCTCTGCAACTATCTTCCGGGGAAACTTGGTCCATTCGCCACCGAGGAGACTGTGGTCGCACCTCATGACCCGGAAACCGTCTTGGTGATTATTCAGAACTGATATGTAGCCAGTCATCGACTCCCCTCGATCCACTATCGACCATCCGCTGGCGTGGAGAGTTGAATTCAGTGAACCAGTAGCCATTGGCGTTATAAGATGGGTATTATAAAAAGCAGCATGTACAATAGCCGGAATAGCCCAGGCGAGGAGCTTCGATCGGGCCATGATGCTGTAAGTGGAAGCTAATACCAGCTCCCAGCCTACACGCGTCTGCATTACTGATTTGCCTATTTGGGCAATCAGCTGACGCATCGAGTCTTTCTCGATGAACTTGTAGAGTGCATAGGAGCCTAGGCCCGGCGCGGAGCCGGCGATGGTTTTTGGTAGGCCGCTCAGATCGGCGTCTTCGAGGACGTCGGCAACACACGCCGTGCTAAGCACGACTAGCGGGAACAGCGTCAGGCCCTCGGTGATGGCGGGTCCCAGATGCGCCCCGAAAGTCTCACTTGCCTGGAATAGGAAGAACTGCGCCATGGGGATATATGCGGCGACCAGGGGCAGTAGTGTGATCGTCTTCACCGGTAGGACTCGTCTAAGAACGATATTGGCACCCCAGCCCACGAATAAGGCCGACCATAGTACTCTTTGATGCAACCTGGTTGCGGCGATCTGGCCGTACACTGGCGATAGCGCTAGCAGGGAGACGTTGGCGTAAACGGCCATGAGCGCGATGAGTGCTAAGGCCTTCCCATAGACGATGCCCTGCTGCGCTGCCCAGTTTGTCCATGTCTCCTCCTTGGCTTGGCCCGCCAGCAACTTGAGTTCCTCCTCGAAGTCCTCCTTCGTCTCGGGGGGTTTCTTGCCGACGGCCTTGGACGGCCCCTTGGACGGTTGTTTCCGCGGTGACATGATGAGAATCTGGAAATGAGAGCGAAGTCAACAGAAGCAAACAATTTTTTTTTAGCTGGACGTGTCCCAGGGCGTCCAATAGTGAATGGTCAATGAGTGAAAATGAAGAGTGCGGCTCTCAACAGCCAGCTGTTGATGCATTCATATCCGTTTACTTGCTATGGTTTACAGGCTAAAGAGAATTGAACAGAATAGATGTCTTGGTAATTCAATAAGGGGTAACTGTGTCTGAGACGTAGGCAATTGACGGATGTGTGGCTTGGTGGGGTTGCTGTGGCGTAGGGGACAACATTCAAGGGATTGTCCCCGCTAAGATCTCCATCTCAACGCTAAGCCGGACTAAGGCTAGCGAAGCCATGACCTAGGTGAGTTAGGTATTGCATCGGCTTTCGGAGCTTAGAAGGTCATTCCTCCTACATTCATCGTCAAGATGGACGATGACGACTTCGGCGCAGATGAAGAGTTTCTCTCTGCATTGGCATCCTCTGCGAATGCAGCCAGTTTAAGCCAACCTACAAGTCGCATCCAGCAGCCAGTTCCCCAGAAAATACAGCAACCGACACCCCAAAGAATACAACAACCCACGCCTCAACGGTTAGACAAGCCACCACCATCGTCGTCGAGCTCCACAGGGCCTAAGATCGTGCAGCCCACGCCTCAAGCTCTTCCGCAACGTTCTTCCGGTTCTTCGATATTGGTTTCACCGCGTCAGAAGGGGAATCCTGTGCTGGCGTCCCTTCGGTCTGTGCCATGGGAATACAGCGATATACCAGCCGACTACGGGCTGGGACTAACGACATGCGCCTTGTTCTTGAGTCTAAAATACCATCGACTGCACCCCGAATACGTATATACGCGAATTCGCAATCTACAAGGGAAATACAATCTGCGCATCTTACTAACCATGGTCGATATTCCCAACCACGAAGACTCGTTGCGCGAACTCTCCAAGACTTCTCTCATCAATAACGTCACCGTTATTCTCTGCTGGTCCGCCGCTGAGGCAGCAAGATACCTCGAATTATATAAATCCTATGAGCACGCGAATTTCGGCGCCATCAAGGGGCAACAAGCTACAAGTTATCCTGAAAAGCTCGTCGAATTTGTCACGGTGCCTAGGGGTATTAATAAGGCCGATGCGATATCACTCGTCAGCGCGTTTGGTAGTCTGAAGAACGCCATAAACGCCGACCCTGAACAAGTTGCCGTCATTGGTGGATGGGGAGAGAAGAAGGTTAAGAGATGGTGTAGCGTCGTGGAGGAGCCGTTCCGAGTCCAACACGCCGCGAAGAGGCGCCTCGTCGAAAGCGAGAGCAGCACCGCTGTTGACAAAGCTATTCCGCTGAGTCGCGTGCCACTTAGGGACATGCCGAGTCTAACGGCGAGCCTGTCTCGAGATAGCGCCACGCCGCAACCGCGGCCGAGGTCTACCAAGCCAACGGAGCGCCGGGTCCGGGATACGGCCACTGATGAGTATGATGAAGAAGCAGCCATAGCGGCGGCTATCGAAGAGTCAAAGAAGACGATGGCGCAGGAGCATGCGCAAGCGTCTAGCTCGGCTTCCAAAGCACGTGAGGAAGAAAAGCTGAGTGATGGAATAGCTGCGGCGCTCGCTAAGCTCAGGGATAAGGGATGATACCTGCCTAGTTTAGGTGAGCTAGGCGAAATGCCCGATATTTGTTACCTCGACTATTTACAGTCTCGGCCCGGGATATACGATAGTGTCGTAAATTAACAAGCATCAAACAAGGGAGCATATGTTTACTGATGCATGTTCCCGTATAATTGCGTACAGGATTATACTATGTATACCTGCACTCAGCGGGTCAGTATGTCAGGGGCTGTGGCGTCCCCCTTCCCCATATATCTGATCCGGAGGCGCGGTGCTTGACGGTGCACAAATATAGGATCAGTTGGACCCCCGACGTGCTAGCTCAGCTTGCTTGTTGATTCCTTCGGAACTTTAGACGATAGCTGCTTCTCGCCAGGTCTATTGCCAGGTCTATTGCCAGGTCTAGTGTTAGCCTTGCCGCTCCTTTGGGTCGGGACAGGCCAGAAATTTCGATATGTTAGAAATTTGTCAAAAATTCCCCGGACTATGACGTCGTGGGATGTCCTCTCGCAGCCAAAGCAGGTCGGGATAGACAAAGGCGTTCATACATATCTCCATATCTCCGACGAGTACAAAGTGTTCGAAGCCACCACACATGCCGCCTTACCTCTATGATGCATATACGATACGTCGTGTGCTCAATAGGTATTGTTAGCATGACCTATGCGTAACCCCGCAGCAGAGAGAGTCGCATCGTCATCAGTCTCTGCGAGGAACCGAAGCTCTCAAATCTCGGCGCTTTTTCTTCTTTTCACATGGGCCTCCCCCGCACGCACTCTGGCACTTAGATAAAGGGACAGGTACCGAACCTAATCTCTAAATTTGGGGTAAGGTACCGGAGCTTAATTTCGTTAGTTGGGGGCTAGGGGGTACTGTCAGGACATTTCTCGTCCAGTAACGTTGGATCTTGAAGAATCTAGCCGCCCTGCCCCGGTGATAGCCAACAGCTTATTTCTCACTTCATTTGTCTAGCTCATGCTCTAGGTTCCTTGGTGTTAGACATGCCGTCACAATATTCCGTTAAATCTTTCTAGCTTTTCTTGTGTCTTGGTCACAAGACATAAACTTGGAAATGCTCCATTGCCTTGCCTTGCCATTTATCGCGGC